CAGGACCCCAAGACCTTAGCACTCCATGATGGAAATGCCAGTCAGGCTGTAAAACCCAGCGCACAGACGGCACCGCCAGCCAAAACTATATCAAAGGCCTAACCCGATAAAGTCCATATAGTTCTGGGAAAATCTCAAAGTGTACTAACCCTGCTTTTTAGCGTCTGTAGTTATGTTTTGGGGTAACTGTTCTTGTTAACCAAAGTAAGTCAACCTAGAGCATGGTTTTCTTGGCTTTGTGCTTAAAAGCTCATCCTGAGGAAGGCTCTGGCTACCGTGGCATCCCAAACATGCAGCATCATCTCCGACTGACTAGGAAAGACTTCCGATCGGCTTAAACCATGTCTGGGCAGTCTTCTGTGGTGGACTCCCCACAACACTGTGACAGCCAGTCTCTGAAGCTCACTAGTTCGTTACCCCCAAAGGGACCCCCGTGGTGGTGCCTCTGGAGCCCCGTCACGTAGACGCTTCTCAGCCCAGGTTCTGGGGCAAAGCCGCATCACTGGAAGTCCCTGAACAACAGGCCAGTAGCTCCATTATAGTCCCCTCACTGTTTACCACTTACACAGCCCTTAGGGAGAGGCCCCATGGGCCTTGTTGAGTTTAATCTGAGACGTGCAGCTGACCCCAAACAGAAACATAAAGTGTCTGAATGCATGGGTGCTGGCGGCAGTGAGAGAGCCCCTTGAGTCCCAAGACACTTATGCCTCACAGACATGGTGCTAGACTGGAGTGGAACCCAGGTCTCAGGCAAGAGCAAGATCTCTTAACAACTTGGCCATCTTTCCAGCCCCAAGGCAGGTTTTAAGGACCATGGGGAGGGTTACATTAAGACTTGGTGAATCAGATGTCCTTGATCACAAACTGTAAGGACTAAGTATGTTCAAGTTAAGCTATCAGAACATGGCCACTCTTACCTTGAACTAGTAGTCACTGGCAGGTGGCCTGGCAGGGGTGTGGTTTTAGAAGGGTCCTTGTTGATTACTTCCTGCTGTAGGATGCTCAGCCATGAACTCTTTTCTCTAGAACCGACCAGCCTTCTACATTAATTCGCTTGGTTAGAGGCTGATGAAAATGACTGCACAAAATACATGAAGTTGACTATACAACCGGTTTTGTTGTTGTTATTGCTTTTGTTTGATTATTATATTTTTAAGTGTATTATATTTGCGCGTGTGCGCATGCGTGCATGCGTGTGTGTGTGTGTGTGTGTGTGTGTGTGTGTGTGTGAGAGAGAGAGAGAGAGAGAGAGAGGATAATGATGATATGTTGTGGTCAGAGAAAAACTTGCTGGAAAACTCCTTCCACCATGTGGGTCCTGGAAACTGAGCTCATGTCACCAGGCTTTGCCACAGAGGCCTTTTCCTGCTGAGCCATTTTGCCAGTCCTACAACCGTTCCAAAGCACGTGGGAAAGAACTGGCTCTCGTACCTTCCTTCCCTCAGTCCTCCAGTTCAGCCTTGAGTCTGTGTCCAGCTGAACTCCAAGGGAAGCCCAGGACTCAACAAAATGATCAGTACTTCTCTGGCTAAAATAAATGACATGATTTATGTGAAGAGTAGGTTCTGTGGGATTTCATGCCTCTGTGGAGGGAAAAAAATTCTCCCTGATTTATTCAACCACCCACTTCTAGCCACAGAGCTGAAGCTCAGGTTCCTCCCAGCCTTGCACTGGCCCTTCCAGTGAACCCTGTTTGAGCCCGTTAGCCGATCTCCTGAATACAGAATCCGAACTGTTCTTGCCCAGGCTCCGCAAGCCTAAGACGTTTGGTATGATGAGGACAGAGGTTCTGCTGAGACAAGTATACATTTTACATTAAAACTGACTGGCCTCCACAGCGTGGTCTCTCTGTTTGGCCTGGGGTGAACGCATTCAGTCAGAGACATGGCCACTGGCTCTGGCCGCAGCCACTCAGTGTTAAGGAAACTCCACTGACACTTTGCTCTTTCTAACCTCTGAGATTCTACCTCTGAGTTTAGACATTTCCAAAGGACTTTATTTACTTCTCATTTTTTTTTTTTTTTTTAGATGTAAAGTACACAGTTACACTGTAAGACTCTACGGCCTTTGGTCCATCAAAAATGCCGTGCCGTAACCGTATGTCTCAAATCCCAAGCATTCCCAGCAGCCCAAGAAGCAACTTCAGTTCCAGCAACCACAGCTTCTGGCTTCTGCCGCCCCAAACCCTGGCTGCCTCCATTTTACCATGTTGACTTGCATTTTGGCTCAGATTTCATGGCACAATTTCCTGTTTATCATGTGGACTCTCCAAGTCTATGACTACAACTCAACAAGTCTTCCTTCTTGGCTTAGCCCACTCTGGCTTAGTGATGTCGATTTCTAGCACATCCTTACACAGTCATCAGCACAACATGGCCCCACCTTTACATTTACATCCTTTGGGAAGAGATGGAGAAGCCTTGTGTGAATCTGTAAGGATGGAAAAATACAGCCTAACTCTCCAATGACCCCAGGAAACTAGAAGTTTAAAAATACTAAATACCTTAAATTTCAGACCCTGTCCTGCCAGTAAATAGGCAAAAGTTCACACTCCTTGCCACTTACCTGACTTTGTAAACTGCTTGTGAAACTCCCACCCCAGTGACCTAACTGCCATTTGTCACCCCACCTAGGAGCCCTCACAAATGCAGACCTCCAGGGCTACAGAAAACTGATTGATCTATAAAGTGTGGGCTTGGATGGTTTAAATTGATTGGCCCGTACCATGCAGGCTCTGGATGCTATGAGATGATTGGTTTACGATGCACGGGCTTTGTTGTAAACCCTATAAAAGCTGTCTCAATCCTGTACTCGGGGTCCTCAGTCCTCTACCCCTGCACGGCGCATGACTGTGGACCCCAGTGCACTCGGAATATAAAAGACCTCGTGCTGCTGCATCAAAACCGATTCTTGTGAGTCAGAGTGTGAAGGTCCACGCTCTGCGGGTCTTTCAGCTCCGTTCCCCTTCTGGAGACGGCTCTTTGGAACCTGCACAAGGCACTGTTCAGGATGGACATTTCAGTGCTGGTGTGAGCAGGCAACACAGCAGCTAATGGAGCAAACAAATAACTCTCCATGGCAGCCAGGGTACCAACAGGACAAGTTCCTTCTCCGCTTACAGGCTGTCCTTTTCTCCCGGCCCAAGAACAGCTGCTGAACCCACTGTGACCAGGGCAGGGGAAGCAGGACAGCAGAAGGATGTCGGTGGCCATCACTGTAGCGTGTTTGGATGCTGCTGCCATGTCTGTAGAGGAAGGGCAGGGCCTGGGGCAGCTGGGGGGGGGGATGTTTCCAGAAGCAGAGTCCCTGGGCAGGAGAGACCCCCAGGGATGGCTGGAGAGTCACACAGCTTCCCCAGGAGCCAGGACTTGCTGATTACCTACTGTGGCTGTCTTTCCATCCTGACCTGTCATTTGATTAAGGACAGCTTACCCTAGTGGGTACAGGATGAGAGTAAAACCACCCTTTTGTGCCTGTGTTACTGTTTGTGTCTGATTTCCCCTGGGGATGTGACAGACGTGTATCCACACTGTGCAGGGCACCAGGACAGACGGCAGAGATGATTCTACCCACGTTGGCCTTATGAACAGGTTTACTTAAGTTACTTGCAGGAACATTTCGGGAACATGGGTGAGGAATTCACAGAGCGTGGGGGACCCAGGCAGCTGCAACAATTGAAAGCCCACCATTGCACGGGTAATGACACACAAAATCTACAACACTGGGCTTCCTAAGAGTCTCCTCTCTGCTAGGAAATGTTTACTGCCTAGACCACTTCAGGGACAGCTTGTGAGGCCCTTTCCTGAGTATTCCAAGCCTCTGTCAGCCCTCCACGGGAGGGTGTTTCAATTCAGACCAAACATGCAGCTCCCTCCACATCTTTACGTGCCCTCTTCCTCGGTTCTCTGAGGAGATGATACACACATCTAGTTTCTTCCATTATGACTCATTAGTTTCTGATGTAACCGCCACCCACTGTGAAAAGTGTCTTTTCACAACTGAGGCTGGCACCTTAGTCATCAATGGACATATACACAAATGTTCTGGAGACAAGCTGACACATTATACCTGCCTGATAAAACATAAAACAATGTCAGGGTGCTCTGGGTAGCATGAGTAGGTTGAAGGAAGAAGGCACTCCAAGATGGGATTTTAAGGCCTATGTGGTAGCAGGAAGGTCCAGCCCCTCTGGTGGACTGAGCTTCAAACAGCCTACAAAGGCATATTTGTTGGTCGTTACACAAAGTATTTCCTCATACCAAGGTCCCTAATGTAATTTACACGTCTTACTAAAGGACAGCACCACACACCTTCATGACTTTAGTCTGCTGTTACGTATTGTTTGTGATACGCAAACAAGAGCATCGGGTATGCCTGAGGAGTCTTGTGACCAAAGTCACGGGATGGCTGCAAAACCCCCTCAGCAAAACAATTCTACAAATCGTGGAAGACGGTCACTGTTTCCCACGAAGATTCCTCGCTATTTACCACGTGATTCATCAAGGTCAATGAATAGCTGTTCATTCTAATGTCTACCCCTAATACAGTGACTCTGCTAAACAAGTTGACAATTTAAAGACTTTTTTACGTAACCGCCACCCACTATGAAAAGTGTCCTTTCACCCATGGGCATAAACACAAATGTTCTGAAGGCAAGCAGACACATAACTGCCTGATACAAAATAAAACAGCAGTGGTTGTCTCCTTCCTGTGACCTATGACCTCCACAACCACAGGACTTAGCCTTGGCTTAGAGTACTCAACAGGAGTTCCCTCCCGTGGAACAGGCCTTGAGTTTAATCAGAAAGTAGCTGTTTGCACACGTAACAACAGAGCCACGATCGCACGACTATGTACGTCTTCCTGACATGTAACAGTATAGCACATGGGTTCCAGAACCAAGCAAGACTGTCTGCGACAATTCCCCCTCGGCTGCCTGCGGTGAGCCTAGAGATCCAGCCAACAGACAGAGACCCCCCCCCCCCCAAGCTCATCCTCGATTGACTTTCTCCATGTCTGAAACCAAAGCATGTGATGTGCTGAGGATCTGTAGTTCTGGTCATCGACCAAAAGCAGTGGCAACAGTATTTGTGGTTTGTTGGACCTCGGGGTCTTTCTTGCCAATTACTCAGGGAGGCTGCACCCAGCAACCTCATTAGTTCTGAGAGCTCCTTCCTGCATTCATTCAGGGTGCCTTTGCTCCGATCCGAGACTGCTGTTTTAACTACTGTTCCTGGTGTTTCCTCTTATCTGTAAGACACTTGGGCTTACGAAATCTTTTCACAGAGGACAACCAGGGTCACTGGAGGCTCACTGCTTTCCAACTCAAGCAAGTGTCAACTGGTTCTGAGATTATTCTCTAGGGTGACATGTCCATGGCACTTCTTGATTCCATACTCTCCTCCTAGGTGCACAAGAATGCTCCTCGTTTGGTATCCATTTAGTTGTGTTTTCCCATAAGACTGGAACCAAATACAGCCGGGGTGGGAGGGGTCACCATGCCCAGGACAGGCCATTCAAAATTGCTCTGGATGCATCAGAGGTCATCTTCCTCCTCTTGGCACAAGGGTGGCTTAGGAGTCAGCTGAGGGCTTCATCGCTCCAGGTCTCACAGGGCACCCGCCACCCGGAACCCTGACTGGCCATGTCTCTATCAGAGGAGGCTCCGTTTCTACACGTCTTAGATTTTCCCCTAAGTGACAAGTCCAGTGTCCCAGAGAGCCTTGCTCCTTTCTGTGTTCACTGCAAAGATTCTACATCCTGACCGGGATGCTGGAACTTCTGTTCACCCATGTGAAACTGACAGTTAATGGAGTCATACATGAAATGTGTGCAGTATCTACTCGGGGTGGGTCCTGTGCTATATCATCGTGACTGTAGGGAGACGAAAGGGTGGCACTTAAAACCTGCAAACCCCCCACCCACCAGTAAAACTGGATCTGAAAGGAACGGATCCTGAGCTCCTGCGAGCCAGCAGGGTTTTGTGAAATGGAGGCCCACAGACAGAGAAAGGTCACAGCCCTGGCTCCCAGGCAAAAGGGAGCGAGTAAGTAAAACGAATGATCGAAAGGGCCATCAACCTCGTGACGGCGCTGCCAAAGTACTCCTGTGTCTTCCGGAAGCCCATGGCCTGGTAGAGAGCCAAAGCGCTATACTGCACAATGCTGGTCTCGAGGACGACGTCACTGTAGCCCTGGTCCCGTGCAAACTGGAGGACAGTTCTGACCAGCGCTTTCGCTATCCCCTGTCCTCGATGCTGTGAGGACACAGACAGGCGAAAGAGCTGCAGCTGCTTCCTCCCTGGTGGGGCATCCTTGACTGGCAGACACCCCACGATGCCCACCACCAGGCCCCCAGATTCAGCCACCCAGAAGGAGCCACGGGCATTCAGATAGGACTTGGTGATGTCAGCCAGGTCTGTTTGCAAAGATGTAGCCACATATTTTCTCCAAGAATGCCAGACAAGGAGCCATAGGCAAAAGCGTATGAGGAAGCTGCTCACTGTGGCCAGGAACCAGGAGCCACACACCAGGACTATGGTCGCGATCACCCCAAATAAGGGTAGGAGGGTCTGGGGCACTGTCAGCATATGGCGGAAGGCAGCAGAGACATTCTCCTCCATGCCCCTGGAGAACAAGTCCAGGACCCTTTTGTGGTCCCTGTCCTGATACTGGCGGATGTGATAAGGAGCCATGGGAGACTGCTGGGTCTCAAAAGCCAGTAATCACAAGGGACAGAGAGACCTTCTTGCACAGCTTCCCTGAGCCCTGTAGGAGACAGAGGAAGCCATGTCAGTCTCCCAATCCCTCCCAGCCTGCCAGAAACCAGGGAGACTCCACTCACAGGAGTCAACGCCCAGGAGGAAGCAGCATCAGGTCAGCATCACCCGACAACTCCCACTTCCTCCCTCTCCCAGCCATGTGACCCTGGGACATGTCCCTTGACCTCTCTGGGCCTGTAGATCATGGGAAAACAACACCTGGTTTCTAAGTCCCCCCCCCCACTCCTTATCTGATTACAGGTTATCTGACCTTTGGTATGGAAGTGGTACTCTGTGGAAATATAGGAGATCTTTGTTTCTTCTTCAGGGTCCAGACATCGAAAACTCCTGCATCCTCAGGCACAAGTTTCAGCAAATCCTCTTTCCAGCCATTGGAAAGATTCAGTCTACAGAAAAGCAAAGGGTCAAATCACTCCACCGGGGGTCCGCAGGAAGACTGTGGCACTCCAGATCTACAGAGACTCCTAAGTCTCTCCTCTCACCTGGTACCACAGATCCAAGAGTGTCCAGGACGGCCTCAGCTTCCAGTGACATCCAGGAGAACCTACCAGGGCCCGATGACTCTCCCGGGGAGTAGATCTGGCGTGGCCCTAGATAATCATGAACCAAGGTCAAGAGCCTGAATGTGAAACGGGAGGGGATCCTCACCTGTTCCTCCCGATCCTCACAGGGTTCACCTGGGGCCTCCCCATCCTTCTGTCCCTCGCCTTCATAACACAGCATCTTTCCACCCAGAGCGTGCTGGCTCCCAGCCTAGGCGCGTGCTGGACTTCTCTTCCTCTGAGCTGTGTGTGTGTGTTGGGGGGGGGGGTCCAAGGACAATGGATCCTGATGGCCCAAACCGACTTCCTACCCTCCTAACCATCACGTTCCAGTGTCGTGTGGATGCAAGCGCTTTGCTGGATGTGTCCTTTCAAGTCCCTGCAGTGCCTGTCTGGATAACAGCCCCCACGCAGTGGGCTGTTTTGTGAGCACGGCGGCTCTTCAGAACCAAGATATCATACTCCTCGTGCAGATCAGCTGAGGAAGTACTTCAAGAAGCCAGGACACACAGGGGCACCCTTTCCTTGCAAGCCACCCCCGTGAGATGAATGCGCTTTGCCCAGTCTTAACCTACAAATCAGCGACTGCTGCCTCTTCCCATGGCTTCCTGAACAGGGTTGTGCTGTAAGCCAGCTCTTGTCTGCCGCAGTTAGCCTGGGCCTAGGTAGGGTGGGGGCCTTACATCCTAGAAGCTTCTCGGGATGACGATGGGTGTGGTGTTAGCACGGGGCACTCTGTAAGCTGGCACGTTTTTGTGGTACTTAGCCTGGGCCCAGGGGAGAAAGATGGGAAGCAGCCTCCGTGGGGGTCTTACACTGGGGAAACTTCTCAGGAGCACGCTGGACTTCGGGGGACAGGTAGGGAAGCCTTCAGTTTAAGAGTGCAGCAAAGACCAGAGGATGTGGAGGAGGGGGAGAGGCAGTGAGGTTTTGCAGGGAGCACGGGGGGGGGGGGTTAGTTAGCCCCTGCCAGCCGTGCACACCAACTTCAAGCGTGAGCCGCAGGGACCCTTACAAGGGACGGATGCGTAGGTGTCCTTTTAACTAGTGAGACGCTCTACCTGGGAGGGAGCTGGCGGCGTCCGGAAGTGGCGGGCTTGCTTCCCAGACCGGGTGATCTTCGGCACCGAAGGTGAGCTGGGCTCTCTCTCGGGCCAGCAGGGAGCCAGGGCTCCTCCGGGCGTGCGAGCACTTTGCACAGGTTCCCCTGCTCGGTTCGCTGCGCTCCCTCCACGCCAGGGCTGCAGTGCGCAGGCTCAGCACCGCCCGGCTCGGCTCCCCGGTCCGCGGCGCCCCCTGCAGGCAGGAGCTGCGGCGGCAGCAGGGAGCCCGGGGACTGGCCCGCCTGCAGCCTGCAGGACACGGGGTCGTGCTTAGCTGCTAGGGCTTCGCGCTTAGCAGCCTCAGGGCCTCTGCCTTCCATCACGCTGTTTTTAATTTTAAAGCGAGCACATCGCAGCTCTAAGAGTTTATAATTCCGTGTATGCCAATGGCTGCATTCTATCGCATAAGAATCGTGAAAAAGTAAGACAACCGCATCAGCGTCACCCTCACGCAGATCACATTCCTGTGTGTGTGTGAATACTGCAGACTCTGCGTAAGTAGAAGGAATTACTTCTACTCTGTTTGGTAGATTGTCGACCCGTGTCAGACGTATGGCCACCAACAAAGGACTTCATCACTATAATCCAGAAAAATGAAGGTGAAAAGTTTACTGAAATGTGTTCAACCATTTGAATAGAAAACGAGCATCTGCAAAAGAAGAGGGCAGGTTAGGAGCTGTTTCAGACATAGAAAACACCGGTGCCTTGTTTTGGTGTCGGGGGTTTTGAAAAAAATCTCAGCAGTCAACCCTTCAGTTCTGATAACTGTCGGGAACTAAGGACACCCGACATCTGAAATGAAAGGTCACCAGGTTTCTCTCAAAACCCTTCCTGAAATAACAAGAACCCGAGAGATCAGAAATGTTACGGGCTGGGGAAATGATGTGGCAGGTAAAGCTCTTGCCCTACAAGCATGAGCTCCAGGGGTTGGACCCCCCCCCACACCCAGCACCCAATAACAAGCTAGGGGAAATGCCAGCCTGCCTGTAATCCCAGGATGCGGGAGGCAGACGGTGCCAGGCTCCAGAGCAAGAAGGCTGGCTTGACTAGCTGAATTGTGAGCTCTAAATTCAGCCTTAAAATATAAAGTGGGGAGTGTTGGGAGAAAACACTGTTAACTCTGGCATCTGTGCACATGCCTGCACATGTTTATACTCACACTCTGTACACATGCCTGCACATGTTTAAACTCACACTCTGTATACATGCCTGCACATGTGTTTATACACACACACACTGCACACACATACCCCAAAAGTTTTATATATATATATATATTTTATAGTAATAGATAAGGATTATGCTGATGCTGTTTATTAATAATCAGGAACTTACTTACTTTTGGGCTCTTTTATTTATTTAGCACACACAATAATCAGCTTATGACATTTTCATACATGTTTATCTCTGGATTTTGTTTAGATTCACACTCCCCAAAAAAATCTCTTCTATACTTGGGAAGTTTTAGGAAATATTAATGCAATTTTCCAAATTATGTGGAAAAATTACCTGGGAAAGAATCAGGAGGTGCAAGTTCGTGTAAAACATAACAAGAAATGGTAGGTGCAAGCATTCTGTACATTATTCATTAAGATTGGGCTGTGTAATGATGTAATATGAAAATATGTCTTACTTCCTAAGAGAACAGAACATTTGAAGGACCTCACAGCCAGAGTTAATTATACACCTTGAGATTAATTATATACCTTAAGACCGCATTCTACTGTGTACTCAACTGTCTGTTTAACCTGCCTTTAAAAAGACAGTGAGTTCAAGGCCAGCCTGGTCCACAGAGCGAGTTCCAGGACAGGCTCTAAAGCCACACAGAGAAACCCTGTTTCGAAAAACCAAAGAAAAAATAAAGCAATAAAATAAAAGGACAATGTGTTTCTAAGGCAGCACTCTGTAAGAACAAGGCCATGTTCAGCTCAAGCCTAGACTGTGAAGAGCCTAGCAGCTTTCAGGCGCCACCTGAGCTGGAGATGAATTCAGGTCTCAAGGCAACACAGCTGTGGGAACTCATATCGCCAAGGGGACTGAAGTTGGTGGGGGTCAGAAAGCTATCAATTTTGTGCCAGTTCCTTAGCCGAAATCTTTCCTGAAAATCCAAGTCGGGCTAGCTTGTGAATTGGAGAAAAAGTTTAGTGGGAGACAGGTTGTCTTTATAGCTCAGAGGAGGATTCTGCCCAAGCTCAAAATGCCATACAAACAAATAAGTGATGAGCCTAGAAGCCACACCCAGACATCCCAAGTGAAAGGGCCGGAGGAAGGGTCCCTGTGAAGCTGGGCGGCGGCCAGTTCTTAGGGTTCCTTTAGACCAAGCACAGCAGAAGAGGGGGAGCCCTTCTCTGGTGTGGTTAAGAATCTCAAAGGCAAGGATGTCAATTTTGAATTCCCAGAGTTTCAGCAGTAAAGACGACCAGGTAAAGTTCATTCATAGTATGTGTGTGTGTGTGTGGGGGGGTGAAAACACTGTAATACCCATCCTCTCTGGCCTTGGATTTCCCATCTCATCAGCTTGTGCAGCCTAAGCTAATGAGTAGCTGTAATCTTCAGTTATATACTCTATATTCTCTGCCATGCCCCCTACACATGCACAGCAAGCCACACACACACACACACACACACACACACACACACACACACACACACGGTATGGTGTCAGGAGTCAGGTGTGTTTGACCCTGGGATGAAAACCCACCAGGAGCAGGGGGAGGAGGAGCTGTGTGAACCAGCATGGCTGTTGCTCTCCAGGCTTGGGAAAGACAAACGAGGCTATGAGTCAACATGGAAGTGGTGTCTTTGGCACAACCCACCCTCCATTCAGAACCCAGCCTGCCCTGAGCCTCCAACCTCGTCTGAGGAGAACCCGGTGGCTCACAGGCTCTGTGTGTGGCCTCCTGCAGCCCATCTACAGTGAGACAGATATCCACCCCATCCACACCTGTTGCACTGACCCTTTGGGGCGTGGGCACAGGTGCGGACATGACCTGAGGCAGGTAAAGTCTGGGATCCCGTACCCCAGCTCTCTCTTGCCTCCTGGTCGGGTTGTGGGAGAGCATCCAGGTGGCATGCTTGGAGAGGGAGCCCGTGTAGGTCAGTCATCTGTTTCAGGTGTAAGCGACTTCTCCCCGAGTAAACATCTATCAACCTATACTTTATCCCAGTGAATCTTATTATTTTGTATAAATCCACAGCCTGCTTAAAGAAACTCTCCACTATGAGGACATGAACATGAGCTGAAACAGTTCAAGGCCCTGGGATACTAGTCTCTTCCCCGTAACTAACTCTTTGACGCTTGGATCCAGTACCTGGGGGC